ACTTGTCTAGGGCGGGAGCAAACTCATATTAGGCACTGCTACAACATTAATTGGTACAAGGAAGAGGCTCGGTGGCAAAGATCAATCAATCTTAATCCATCAGTTTTATTCCCTCGACTTCACACTGAGTCAGCAACAGGACGCTAGACTTCGCATCTCGATCAATCCAACACAATTGTTTGCGACCCTAAGTATGGAGGATCGTTGAGCCAACCTCAGCCTGCCCAATTGATAATCACTGATAGTTCGGTACATAAGCCCATGACCTCTATAGAAGACTTCAACTTCGAATTCCCTGCTTGGATTTATTGTGTAACGACGACTTCAATCACTCATTCAACTCCATTCACACCATTCCAATAGACAGGATCAATTCCTCACCAGTGGTCCAATACAATCAGCTCGACTCAACCTGTTGCCTCGAGTTAGAATCCTTCGCAGTTTGTAATTGCCAGTGCTGGTCTGATCTCTAAGATTGGGACTCCTTTAGAACAAGCTATGGCGAAAAAGCTCCACTACAAGAAAAATGCCTTTTGGCATCTAGCAAAATTAGATGCAAAAAGTAAAATTTAGATGCTAAATCTCTTTCACGTCTAAATTTTTTAGTCGCCACGCAGTTGCGAAATCACTGTCACAGAAAGTATGGGCGTCTAAATTTTTGGTTAGTCGCGGAAAGTTTTTTTTTGGCAACTAGCAAATTAGTTGCTAATTGCTGGTTAAAATAGTCCCCCTGCTTAGACGCTAATTGTTCAAGGGTAATTTGGTAAAATTGTATCGCGACTAATCAATTAGTTGCAAAATGTACCTTTTAGTGTCTAATAATTTGTCGCGAATGCCACAAAAATTAGACGCTGAAGGTGTAAGGGTAATTTCGTAAAAGGTTTTCGAAACTATTTTATTAGTGGACGAATGTATCTTTTGGTGACCAAAATTTGGTGGTTAATTCTAATACTTTTAGACGCTGAATGTGGAATCCAAAAGGTTTTCGCAACTATTTTATTAGTGGCCGAATGTATCTTTTGGTGACCAAAATTTGGTGGTTAATTCTAATAATTTTAGACGCTGAATGTGGAATCCAAATGGTTTTCGTGACTATTTTATTAGTGGACGAATGTATCTTTTGGTAACCAAAATTTGGTGGTTAATTCTTATAATTTTAGACGTTGAATGTGGAATCCAATTATGATAAATTACTGTTTGTAGCTGAAAAATTAGTTGTAGAATGTGTTTTTTTTTTTTTTTAAGAAAATAATTAGTGGCAAAAGCATTTTGTATTAACCTAGTTTATACATTCAACATCAACAAAATAATCCATCACAATATAAAAATCTGAACACTAACATCAAATATCATATTTTCATACATATACATATTTATATATATAGTCCATACATGGATTTTTATGCATTAGGAGCAATAAAAATCCAAAATGCACTATCAAGTGTGCATAACCAAAAAAAAAAAAAAGTATGCACCCATATTTTCATCACTAGTTATCTATCTGTGCATAACTAACAGAAAATGCCCACCCCATGTACACCATCTAACAGATATATGCAAACAATCCTAAGACGATGGTCCTACCCCCATGTCAAAATATATATTGCCCATATAACAAAAAACTAACCATCAATATCTAGAGCATCTCAAGTGTCACCAGTTGAGGTTTTCGAAATAGCTGTAGCTGATGAGGACGAGTCTTCAGCAGTTGGAGATGGCGATGGCTGTTGAGTTGGAGCTTTATCAGATTGTTGTAGTTCAAGGGCTATAGTTAGCTGTTTCATCATCTCCAACAGGATAAATTGTTGTTGTTCAAGGCTTTTTATTTTCTGTTTTTGTTGATCAACTAAGACGAGCTGCTCCTCCAACTGTTTAATCTTATTTTCTTGTTGTTGCACTGTGCACCTTAACTCTACTTCTGCTGCTATATCATGATGCTCAGAGTGTGAAAATGCAAAATTTTGATTAAATCCGGAAGCTTTACCCAGAACTTCCTCACATATTTCTGCTTCTGTTTTTTCACTTTCCCCTGCTTGTGTTTCATCTTGCAACTCTATCATTTTTTCCTACCATCAATTCAATGCATAATCAATAAGTCATGAAATAATTGTATAGGACCGATAATTGAAAGATGATCAATTTACATATAGCTCTCTTGCTTGTTCATTAATGCACCCTTTCTCGGCACTCCAACGAGTGTCATGAAATAATTGTATAGGACTGACAAATTCCCCAAGTTGGTTTGCCTTAACAGTTCATATAGTCATTGACCACAAATTGAAATAAAATTAGTAAACAGGAATACAAAGTTGTATATTTGTATAGGTGAATAATATTAAATATCTTTTCCTTTTTGTGCTAAATAAAGTTCTTGGAACCATCGCGGTGGTTACACCTCATCTTCGACCGGTTCTTAGAATAAGTTTTTGACCATGCCTAACACCACAAAATTTAATATTAAAATACAATACATATATAATAACATTAAAAGCTATGTTGACCTTACCTGAAACTTTTCACTAGAAAAAAGGTCACAAAGATATATCCAATCATCAGGATCTTTAATTTCTTCAGGTCTACTCTGTAATGCTTCCTCCTTAGTAGCATATGCTTTGAATTTCTTGTGTAGGGCACTCCGAAAGCTGTTGAATCTCTTACACAGTTTATGCTTCAGCCATTTGAGTACATGGGGCTCCGTGACATCGATGTTAAACTTGGTCTAAATTCAGCAATAATGTACATGCATTAAACTTATATGGGTATTATATATTATTTACATAAGGAAGTATGACAATATGGATAACGATATGAAAGACATTATCGTGATACAAGCAATCATTTGTTTTTCCACATCATATGGAACTTTCTTCCAAGTAAACACTCTAACGGGGACATAGTTCCTCGCAACTATTCCTACCTCAGTACTTAACTTTGATGCATTTACTTCAGTTGGTACTCCATCTTCTTTTTGAAAGTCTACATGCAACTTCGACTTCGCTGTTTGTATGAGTCTTTCACATCCAACTCCTCTAGTCTTCCCTCTCACGTTCTTTGCCACAATATTGGCTACAAAATCAAAATAATACATCATTAGTAAATAATATGTTATCACAAGGACTGTTTACATGTTGGTAAAGTAAATTGGATTCTTAAATTTTAAACAAACTGTTAGTGTATATTAGTGTATGCCCTAGAAACCATTCGTGTTGTCGGTTTCAGAGCATTTTGTCTTGTATCTATATATATATCATAAATAATAGAAGAAAGAGTTCTTCAATTCATATATGTAAATTGCTTCCTTTATTCAGTCATGCATTGAAAATAAAGTATGTATATGAATTGTCAAGATGATTCATTTAATAGGTAAATGAATTATCGAAAAGGGTTCCCTACGGAAGTAATATAAATTTGGGCAACTATATTGCACAGTAGGCATACCGGATGCTTCCGAAAGATATCATGAGTTGATATAAGTACGGATGACGATGATAGTCATGTCACTAGGGCATTGGTATGGATTAACGGTTGGTGAACTGTTTTTCGAACGTGACCGAATAACGACAAATCACTTGGAAAAGCATGTAGTCAATGATTTATCGTTTGGTTATATCAGTGCACGATGTAGTCCTTTGACCTGAGACATTGTAGTCGGATCCGATATGGATGCGTATGGTTCATACGGTGTATAAGTACGAGACTAATCATGTTTCGTACAATAAAGCCTATTTGGTCATGCGTTGTTCATATGCGGAAACGAACGATGGTCAAGAGGGGATCCATTGACTCGGAAATATAGGATCGGGAGTACCGCTGACTCCATCCGGATTCGAGTTCCTAGACGAACATCGATAAATGTCGGAAAACTGAATCTCTGGCCAGAGTCTATTATTAGTCATACAAAAGTAAGTTTGTGATGACAAGTTCCGGACATATTGATCGACAATTCGGTAGAAGATCGAGTTTAGGATTTTGACGTTCCATGAATCCATACTCGATTAGGATATCTCAATGGAGGGACTTTACCTGCATGGTACGTATGATCTGAAATGGGTTCGATGAAGTATTTCTTCATCGTGGTTTAGGGACTATGGCACATTGCTAGATGTTTACCATAGTCGTTGGGCCTCCGGACAGGTTTCCGGATTCATCCAGAACCGGCTCACGGCTAATCCACGGTGGACCTACATGGTCACACCAATAGCCTTGAGAAGTTAGAGAAGGATGAGAGAGAGAAATGATTATCCGAAGAGGGCTAGCACCTTCCGAGGGTAATAACGGGATTTCTATAGTAATAGTTACATAGAAAACAATTTGTGACATTTTAAGGGTTAAAATGGTCAAGCAATAATTAATTATATTTAATTATTATATCTTAAAGTGTTAAGATTAATGAGATGAACAAAAATAACCTTTTAATAGTTAAAGGGTAAAAAGGGTAAATTTATGGGTTGTTAATGTAAACTAGTTTAGTTTACATGGGCCCTTGAATAATATTGATTATTCAAAGGGTAGCATATTAAATTCGTGGGGTCCCTTTATAAAATAAGATTTTATTGGGCTTGGAAGTGAAAAATAAATAATTGCAAAATAGCCCAAGTATATATAAGTGCAAAAGGTTGCATTTTTGTTCATTATTCACTTGTTCACTCAAACACAAACTAAAAGCTCTCTCTCCCTAGCCAAGGCCACTCTCTAATCCTCTCAAGGTGGTGTTAAAGTGTGGAGGTTTCATCCTTTTAAAGCTAATCTTCATCAATCCAAAGCAAAGGAGTAGGTATAATCTCTTTTCCAAGCATTGTTTGAAAACCGGTTTTAGAATCCATGCTTTCATGCTCTCATTCTCCATCTCCACCACTCTTCATGCATGCTGATTCTTTCACAAAAATTGGAGACAATATCTAAAATCCAAGTATATATTTCAGTATGCTTATGTTAACCAATATCATAACTTTACCAGTGTTTGCAACAATTTCAGGAGTCGGTTCAGCACTCTGATTCATTCAAACAACCTTTGCACGTCTAGCTAAGGTCCTTCTTGTACTAGGAGCCATCTTTGGAATCTGCAAACATCAACATAAGAGAAAAGATACTGACTTGTGTGGCCAATGTGCAAAGCCAAATTAGTTTTTTCATTCTTTCATTGCTTTATCAGAGTTTGTTGTTAGTAGCTGTTGATTCAGTTTCATTTTCAGTTTTTAACTTTTAGAACTGAATCTGTAAAGTCTCTTGATAAATAAGCCTGATAATATACATCACATAAATAAATTGACACGGTACCTTTTGACAACTTATCAACTCAAATTTCAATTAAGAACACAATTACATAAACATAAACCCTCAAAGAAAATTCAAACCCTATCAAACAGAAAAATTTCAGTGAGTTTTCTAGCTGCAAGTTTTCCCAGCTCAATGTTGCTATGTTTCCTGCATGCACTAAGTAATGGAGCCCATACTTGAGCTTGTACTTGGACAGGCATCTCTTGGATTGTTTTCAAAGCCAAATCAAACTGACCAGCTGTGCCAAGAAGATCTACCAAGCATACATAATGCTGTATGCTGGGTTCTATTCCATACTCATTCTGCATACTTCGAAAATACCTTAATCCATCTTCTACCAATCCGGAATGGCTGCACAACGATAATAAGCTTGTGTAAACCACAACATTTGGCTTTATACCTTCTGCTTGTTGCATCTTATGAAAGAGACTGGAAGCCTCATCTCCCATCCCATGAATGGCATAGCCATTTATCATAGTACCCCAAACAGCCAAGTCTTTATCTGACACCCTCTCAAACACTTCTTCTGCCTTGTTTATGCTCCCACATTTGGGGAACATATGTATCAAAGTGGTCAGAACTTGCCTACTAGACTCTAGCTTGTTTACCAGATTTTTCTATAATCAATAGGATACAATGTTCTTGAAAAATAGTAATCACCCAAACTCCCATATTCTTTTAATATAATTCAAGAACCAAATTGTTCATCACAAAATTACTCAAATCACCGAGAGCAAGAATTATAACCAAAGAATCAGAAACTGCTTGAAAACACAATAATCATAGAAATATAACTCTCTCTAATTTGTTCTAGCACTAAGAAATTCAATACTCCTTCAGTCAATATATCATTCAACCAGTTCTACATCCCCTTACTTTTCTATCCAAAACTATATATTTCCATAGCCAAAAAAAATAAAAGTACATTATTAACTTTGACTTGTTAAAAGTTATCAAAATCCCATAATCTGCTGGTTCAATTATCGAAGGAATTTCATTCTCTATAGTTCGGTCTAACACTAAAAAGATAAATAAACACCAAAAAATGTATTAAAGATTCAACAACTAAATTCTAAATCGTAACCATCCAAACACTTCTCTCAGAGGCATTTCACAAACACATAACAAGTTCTCTGCAAACTTCCAAAATTAACGCAACTCATCACCTAGCCTCCAATTTCGGAATATCTAGCAAAGTTAACAAACTCACAAAGAATTCAAACTAAGAAACAAAATAAGAGAGAGGGAAAAAAAGGAATTTTTAGATTTGGAAAGAATGCATACCTATACAATTGACGAAATTAGGTTTTTCTGAGTTTCGTCTTTAAATGGAGAGGTGTAGAATTCAAATGTGAATTAAGCTGCAGAAGCAACTATTCTGTAGGGTTAACGAAAAGATGGCTGTGAGGTTTATGACAACAAAGAGAAAATTAATTCGATTTTAAGTGGTGCATTTGTAATTGAATTACAAATTTGGGTGTCAAGAAGCTCGATGGAATAAAACCTAATTTATGGTAATTTGGATAAAGGATAAAACCTAATTGAAAGGAAGTAGAAAAACTGACCTTTGAAGAAGAATCTTGCCTGGGAATTTCCAAAGGTTTTAGTCGTTCCTCCTTGTTTTATATTAAACACTTTCAAAAAAAAAAAAAAAAAAAAAAAACCTTACCAAAAAATAAAAGTAAAAGGCACAATATGAAAATAAGGAGGGGAAAAATATAATCTTCATCTTATTGAAGTGTAAATATAATTTTTAATTGAACAACAACAATAGACTTAACCTAATTAAATAATAATAAGGTTCCACATAATTAAGGTTAAACAATATCTTATTAAATTAATTTATAATTAGTAATGTATATAAATTATTTATCAAATTATTCACATTAAAAGATAAATTACATAATTATGATGAAGAAAATTAAATTTAAAATTTAAGATAAATAATTTGAATTATAAATGATGAATAAGATAAAAATCTATAGTGGGTTGTTACACAAGCCAAATAGCTCACGTGATTCACTAGTTCAATTTTTATAAGCAAATTTAATTCTTATATAAACAATACGAAAAGATATTGTGAATTAAATCACGAGTGGTTAAATCAATGCAATTGTACCTTGAGAATGATTATTAAATCATAAGGAGATGAGAGACATTAAATCCTACCATTGCTAAGCTCCGTAATGAATTCTTTATTTCTTGTTCATAGAACAAACTTGCAAATTGATTACTGATGTGGAAGTGGTAGCAGATGAGTACATGGAGCTAGCTGAGATCAGACACTCAAACAGGAGCAATATTTTGTTTTCATTATTTCATATATCTACTTTTTTTTTCTTTTTTATTAATGTGTGGTTATAATAAGTTATTAATTAGTTGAAGAAACATTTGTAAGATTCTTAGGAAAATTGGAGCGTTATGTTCGTAATAAAAGTCGACTAGAAGGTTCTACTGCAGAGGGGTACATTAAGGAAGCGAGTCTAATATTTTGCTCGACATATTAAATTGTATTGAAACTAAGCTTGATAAGTTGGGAAGAGTCTTTTAAGTTAGCTATTTGGTTGAAGGTCATAATTTATTATTGACCTTAGTTGTGTGATAAACATAGTTTAATTTGACTATAACTATTAATTCACAGTAATAAAAATATATTACTCATGGGATAAATTAGAATATCTATAGCTGCATACTATAAGGATTGTAACATATTAATTTTCACATTCTTTATTTTACTACAAATTCAAATAATTTATAGCTAATACACAAATATTAGTATATATTTTAACTAGTAGCTAATAATGATACTAATATTTTTACTACCATGAAAATAAAATTTGTATGCTAAAAACTTAATAGCTATAAATTTCAAATTTTGTAGCTAATTCACAAATAATAGTATATAGTTAAACTCGTAGCTAATAATGATAAATCTACATGTAAATTAAATGTTTATAGCTAATACATTAATTAGCTACAATTTAAACCATAACTAATACATTGTAGCTAAATGACTAGTTATGGCCACGATTTAACAAGTTAAAGCAAGAGAGAATATTAGCTTTGAGGGAGGAAATCTTATTACTAAAATATTTCAATTGCTATAAATATTGACTTTTGTAGCTGTAAATATGTATTTGCTACAGTTTTCCTTTACAGCTAATTTTCGTAGTTATATGTCTATAATGTTGTAGTGTAGGTGTAGGGTTTTTTGTAAATACTTAAAAAAGTAGGGTTTAATTAGTTGTTTAATTTTGAAATATAAAATTTTGCAAATAAGTCAATTTGTAACTAAACATTTAGTCAGTAAAGAATTAGTGTTGTTGCCTATAATTTACGTTTGGTGGGAACAAATAATTTGGGAGGAATATGAATTTTTCAAGTTAAATTGGCAACTAAATCGAATTTAGTTGTTGTATATAATTTTTTGCAACATTGTTAATATGAACACAAACATTTGTGCTAAAAATACTTTGGGGCCCTTGAATTACTATCCAAATATGAGATATTTTGGTAATTTCATTTTCTGTAACTAATCATAATAGTTATTAATAAATCCCTAATTATTTGCAACTAATTTAGCTACTAAGGAGTAGTTGCAAAAAATTGTTTTTTTGTAACAAAAAAGTAGATGCAAAATATAATATTTTAGATGCAAATTAAAATTTTGGAGGGAAAAATCACCCGCTATTGCAACTAAATTATTAGTCACTAAAGCAAACCTGTTCTGTGACTAACAAAATAGTCGCAGAAAATTAATTTTAGACGCCAAAAGTTGGAACATGAGGGCCCCAAAATTTTAATCCTCTTTTGCCGACTAATGTCATTGTTGGAAATTTAGCCTTTCTGCACTATTCTGGTTAGTTGCTAAAAAATTGGTTGCAGAATGCCAGTTTCTTATAGTGCTCGCAGAATTGGGGACGATCATCCAGCGGATCCCTGGAGTACACTACACCAATCAAAAGGAGCCTCTCGTAAAAGATACGTTGAATCTCCTTTTGTTGAGCAATCACCCTCGCTGAGATGCCTAAGAAATTTTCCTTCCCAAATATGAAGCTTTGCGACAAACAATACTGACCCCAACGATCACATTGCATCCTACAAACAAAAGATGTTTATTGCTACAATACCTTGCAACCTCTGAGAGGCTACATGTGTAAAAGCTTTAGATCTAGTCTCAGGGACTTGACCTACAGTGGCATACCAATCTTCTAAATAACTCTATAGTGTCTTGCTAGCTTATTGATACCTTTATTGAGTAATTCACCAATAGTAAGAAATTGTAGAAATTGTTTGTGATCGGTACAACGGTCATCAGCGATATGAAGAGCCCCTCAGAGAGCTTTCATGAAAACATAAAGAGTATACAAGTTTGATAAAAAATTGCTAGCCTATTTTCAAAATTTCAAAATTTTGATTTTTTTTTTTTAAGAAATAAATTTTCAAATGATTATAATAAAAAAAATTATCGAAAAAAATATCTATTTTAATCTTTACATGTGTTATAAATTATTTCTTAAAATCAAAAGTGATTACGAGATTTAACAATCGAACACCCTATGATTCTTTTTAAAGTTGACTTAGAAGTGGTATGGGACAAGCTACAACAATCCCAAATTAAGATTTTGTTTTTCTGGTCTAAAAGCTGAAAGCATCGTTAGTTGAATATGTTTGAGTACATAAGTTTGATCTATACGTATTTTTTATTTTTTAATGCCAGATTATAAGTATTGAGTTGTTTGTTTTACATAATAAACATCAAATCTGTGTTTTGACACAATTACCTTATTAAATATAATATAATTTTATATTTTACATCTTTTAAACAATTTTAAATTATCAAATTTCTGAAAAAAAAATGTATAAGAATGATACATAACTATGTTATTGTATATTGTTTAATTTAATATCTAAAAAACAAAAAATAAATAAAATAAAAGAAGACAAAAAATAATAATATATAAAGGTTTTGCTAAAATTAGAATATATATATTAATTGGGGTTATTGAGACAAAGAAAAATATTATTGATTAAGATGGTTGTATTTAGATAAGAGTCAAATATTTTACCTTTTTACTTTAAGTTAAAAAAAAAACAATCCTAAACATCTTCATCTACTAAAAGAAGTAACATCATAGTTAAGATGAAAAAACAAACAACCGCTAAGCTTTTTTTTTGGTAACCTAGGTGTTCGGATCAGCTTACGTGTATATCGACTAAACCTCGGGAGAGAGTAGCATAGCAACCTACTTCCACGCCCTCACTTAAATCATAATATTCAGATAGGAAATCAAATTTAGATTGTGCGTCTATCACACACTGTTCTAAGTTCGCCCTAACCATCTAGATTACCCATGAAATCATGAACTCGCATCAAAACACTTATTAGATTATTCGCCTACCACACCAAACATATTATTTATTTTTTTTTTTTTAACAACTGTTTTGGTCTCTTTGTGTTGATGCTTGATTTTGACACCAACGATTCGCATGTGTAAAGCGTTAAGGTAACTTAGGAATTACACGTGAAATAGAAATGAAAGGAAATAAAGCAGAAGAG